ACGCAAAGCAGCTAACCTTAATATTTTCCATTCATCCAGGTGCAAGCCACCTGCAAATCTGGTGTGTTTTATCCCACAAGTTATTCTTCCTCTACTCCAATGCCATAATTCTTGACTTTGTTTTTCCTTTTGTCAGCATGTAGCAATTCTTAACACACTCAGAGTATTAACCTGATACTGTTTTATTTTTTTTAAAAACTGTTCCTAAAAAAAAATATTGGCTTCCCTTGCTTGCTTATGCCAAGCCTGAATCAGAGTTTTTAACTTCATTCCATTTTTAACCAGGGGGAAGTAAAGGAGCCTGATTTTTAAAAGTGACCTCTTGTTTTGCAGGTGCAAATAGATGTGTAAGTGCTGCCTGATTGCTCCTGCAAAGAAAATAGGTATCAGAGTGCTAACATTTTTGCCTTCAAACCAGAGGCTGGGTTTGAAGCCCTTTCCAGAATGAAAACCACTGTGTTCAAAATAAAACGTATGAGGTCATGCTTGCTCACCTAGAGTATGCTTTACTCTGTAAGTAAGGTCTGAGTAAAGATAGTAGAATCGGGCCTTTACAAAATAGAGCAAATCTGATAGCAACCTTCTGATGGTGATCAGAATAATTTTATTTTGACATTAATGTCTGTTTTAGGAGATTTGGAATATAGCAATGTGTTGTCTCAAATCATCAAAACAGATCTGGAGTTCTCTTATTTATGTGTGCTTTGTAGATTTCTCTTTCTGAATTCTTGAATTTGGTTCCAAGATAATAATAAGTTCAAATAAATAATTAAAAAGACTCAGTGCATTATTTAATCAAGAGCTAAAACCTGTATAGAATGCATGCAGTAACCAAAACAAAGATATAACTTGCTTTAGACTGATTTTTAAATTATCACTGCAAGAGTGATGGGGTTATGAGCAAACAGTGATTCTTTATTTGCACTTTCACCCTTTCTTGTCTTTTAGTAAATGTTAATTTGAAATCTTACTGAAAAGTACACCTCTACCCCGATATAACGCGGCCCGATATAACATGAATTCAGATATAACGCAGGAAAACAGCACTCTGGGGGTGTGGGGCTGCGCACTCCGGCGGATCAAAGCAAGTTCGATATAACGTGCTTTCACCTATAATGCGGTAAGATTTTTTGGCTCCCGAGAACAGTGTTATATCAAAGTAGAGGTGTAATTAATAGTTTAATACAAGATTTTCTGAAGCTCAATACTTCAGATGCTTTAAGTTATATTCTTAGTATCCCAGTAGGTGGCACTATAATACAACATTTTCTAAGAACTAGTGAAACAGTGCTGGGTTTCACATTAATGTATATAGCTTAATCTTCAATGTAAACCTGAAGCCCAGTTCGATTAATGTAAAATGAATTTCTCTAGCAAGTTTTAGTTGTATCATTGTTAATTTTTCATAATACTGTTATAACTAGAATGGGCTGCTAAACTAGGCTCTGAAAAATATTTTGAAAAAATGCATTAGATTGTCACAATTAAACATTTTTATTTAAGAGTTAAAAGTGGAAGAGAGCAGTTTGACATAATATTTGCTTTCCACTGCATAAGCACTAAGCTGAAATTAAAGCCTACGTGGTTTATTTTCAAAACAGAACATTATCTTTTATTTCAGTGACTTTTTATCATCAATATTTTCTGTAACTGCAGTTTCATGATTCAGCATTTCTCATGTAAATAACTTACAATAATAAAGAACCATGAGATTTCAATGAGGCAAAGGAAAACTTGGTTTACAATGAAAGGACAGTTCACAGGTATTCATTTTATCCTATTTACTAATAAATAAATACACACCGAATCCAGATTAGTCATCATAAATATATTTTATGAAAAAGCTGTTTTCTGTTCATTAGATTAATAGCATAAATTTTATCTGCTATTCGTAAGTACATTTGTTCAACACTAATAGTTAGCAACTGTCACTTTACACACCTTTCCAACTTTTTTTTAACATCTGGTGTAGCTATTCACTTTTTATGCTATAATACAAATAGAAATTAATCCCTCTGGATTTCAAAAATCCTTCACTGCTGCTCTTCTTGTGTGGGGCTTGGTAGTTTGAATGGTATAAAAATGAGTAAGACAACTTTTAACAGCACAGTAGTATATCCACAAGATTTATAACAGAACATAAGTAACTTTGTAAAGCCTCAAGAACATGGTTAATCAGTGAACAAAATTACTTTAAATCTTAATCTTCCTTATCAATGTTTTTAAACGTGTAACTTTAAACTAAGTAATATCTCTTAGTTTATAGAGAGCAAATAATTTTACATCATCTTGCATACATTTCACCACATATTGTTGGTGACTTGGGTTACTGTATAACTACTAAATCAGAAACCTTTAAACCTTAAACAGCAGCTGCAGTACAGGATTAGCAGTCTAGTAGAGAGTACTTATCTGTGATGTATTTGATCTAAGTCAATGTATCAAAGTATTTGTCGTTCAAAGGCTGATTATACACTGCTTCTTGCATGATTATCTTCATAAACTATGTATTTACTTAGACTGGTAACTAAGGGGCAGGATCTGCCCCCTAGATGGTGTTTTCAAATCTTATTACACGGTTTAGTTTTTGAATAGGGGGAGGAGAGGGAAGTTTGAACTAACCATATTAGCATGAAACGAAATGAATGGAGGCAGCTAAGGAGAAAATACACATTATTGGAAATATATAATGTTAATCCCAGTTTAAATTTTTTCCCCATTTGAGGAACTGAGTCTCCTTACGTGGTAAGTCACTCACAACTGTAATGTTTTCACAGAACTTCAGGAAAATATTAAAGGAAAACTTAAGTTTTGTTTGGATACCGATGAAAATAATAAAATATTGTTGCCTCCTCTAACTGGGATGCCTTCGCAGGGTTGAGGCACTAGAGGGTGACATATTACCATAAAACCACTGCGGGACTAAATGTCAACATGTCACGTCCACCTCCAATTTAGCAACGCAGCTTCTCAGACGCGAGTTAGAAAGCGCTGCCAAGTAGATTAGTTTAAAAGGTGCATTTGGTGAGTTAGAGATTTGTCCCATGAAGGACTGTGGTACAGAAAGGAATGTGATTTGGTGCTTTTTCCCCCCTCGGGTATCTTTTATTTTTAAACGTAAATGGCCCACGTTAGAGTTTCTCGTCCTTTATAGTTTATTAACACTGTTAGCAACTGTGACCTTTTAACAGATTGAGCAATGGGGTGAAATATCGCACCCTGTGCTGCCTTTTGCAGGAGGAGGGACTGTGCTCCTGCGCTGAGACGTTGCTAAACTGCAGTCGTTCCCAGAAGTGCATTTCTCCGCGGGGCTGGACACAGTCACACTGAGGAGGAAGCCAAATGGAGGCGTGAGCCGTTTTGCGAAAAACTGGTGTGAAGACCCGGCGCAAAATGTCCCAATAAAACGCCGTTGAAGTTACTTTTCCTTTGGTACATTTCTTTGCAAAGTGCAGGTTTCCTGCTGACGTGGGCAGACTTGCCCTCGGATTTTCAGGGCTTGACATCCCGGCTCAGAAAAAACCGAAAGAGGATCAAACGTCTCCACTGCTTTTGTAACCCCTAAAATGCAGGGAAACTTTTACACGCGCATCCATTTTCCCCTTGCATATGTTCCAACTGTTAGCAAACGCAAGTATTGGGAATGCAGAATCGTGCTGTTGAACGTGTTTATACAAGCCTGGATGTCGGAGTCAGGCCAGATTTATGAATGTCGGGGGGGGGGGGGGACAAGGGGGGGTTCCTGGCGGGTTCGGGGGGGTTAAAAACCTCTTGTGTTTTGTCGGGGGGGGGGGAGGATTAGCTCCCTTTTTGGGCGTTCACTCCTTCTAACTACTATTTGTCCCCCCCGTCCCAGCTACTGTCCAGACAAGGGCTCTTTAGGAGGGAGGGGCATTAATGCCTGAGGAGCTGCTGAGACGAGAGCTGCAGGGGAAGGGATAACTTGGCCGGGCAGTTGCACAGAAAGAGCTGTGACCTGGGAGGGGGGAGAGGTGCTGCAAAGAAAGGGGCCCCGGGGTTAACTCTTCCCCTCCCGGCCGTGCAGACTCAGAAACGCCAGGCTCGTTGCTTATTTGTCTTGAGGAGCGCGTATATTTTGCGTAGCCAAGGAACCCATGCGGGCAGTGCGGGTGCCCCCCTCCCCCGGCCGAGGTGTGGAGCACAGTACGGTTACGTCCCTTTCCACTCACCCCTAGCACTGGCTTCCTTCCTCCCTGCACAAGCTAGGCAGCGCTCGAGCCTGGGGCCGCTCTGCAGCCGCGGCTGGGCTGCCCTTCCCCGGGCGGCGGCCCCCCGCCCTCGCGCACTCCGCCCGGGGAAGGGCACCGAGCGAGCGGCCGGGGCTGCGGCCGCTTGTGTCCTCGTTCCAGCCCTGCGGTGCTGCTGCCCAGGGACGGGCGTTGGGGCGCCAAGTCAAAGGAGAAGAAATTGGCTTTGCTAATCGTATCACAAGACCTTGACCGGCTGCCAAGTCTCAGTGATCTACTAGGCCTTATTGGAAAGCTCCGGGAGGCGGGCGCATGGTGCAGGCGGCGCGGGACGGGGAGGCCCTTTGCTGTGCAGGAGCCGCCCCCCGGGAGGGGAAATGGTTCTTTCTTTCTTCCCTCCTCTCCCCCCTCCGCCCCCCAAACCCGATCCCGTTAGCCACCCGCGCTTTGTGTTGCAAAGTAACACACCCTAGCGACCGTCCGCTAGTTACGCGGGCGCAGCAAGCAAGGACCCAGAGTTTGTTTCAAATCAATTACGTGGCAAAAGTTGATGTTCGGTGGAGAGGAGGAAGAGGTGTCCCGTTTCACTCCGAGGTACTGGGGTGCATCTTCCTTTTATTAAGCTTCCCAGCCTATTCGCCAGGCATATTAAACTGAGAGGGAAGCCCTTTCCGACATGTGCTGGTTGAAAAGTCCTAGTCAGGGAGATGGTCGCGTGTATGTCTTTTGCAATAAAAGGGACACTGATTTTCCCGAGCATTTTAAAAGAAAATCAGGAGTTTAATATCGAATGATCAGAGCCTCCTAGCTACGTCTGCAGAGTGTTTTTGCGTCAATAACTCCTAAATGTTAGCGTGGTTTCTAGGTAGTACGTTCTGTAACAAGTCTTACTTTTGAGTGTTTTCTGTGCAGTTTGTAACAAACCTATATGCACGGTGCATTCGGCAAGTGCCCTCTGCATTTCCATAGCAAATCTCCATGTATAGGACCAGGCTTTCTATACACATGTATACGGTGCAATCTGCAGCAAGCCTTGTATGTTTTCTCTACACTCATCTGTAGCAGCCTTGTATATACTGTACAGTGTTTACTAAATACAAGTGTATACAACAGTGCACCCTGTGTATAGTGGACTGCCTGCTACCCACAGTGCATTGTGTAGCAAGCCTTGTAGAATGCTTTCTATATACTTTCCACTCTATAACCCCATGCATAGCAGAGTCACAAGACTGTATAGTACAATCGTGTAGCCAATGGCTCACTGCAACCCCGAGTGAGCATGACGCTAGCTGTACAGCCGACGGCTACCCCGCCCGCCGCTCTTTCTCTGCCGCTCAGCACCTCCCTGCACTCCAGGCCCCTGAAAGAAATTGGCGGCGCCCAATGAGAAGCAGCGGAGCGGCTGAGGAGGGGGCAGGGCTGGGTGAGAACTACTGGGCGGTGTTGCTGGGAGACCCCGGCGGGCCCGGCTGGGTCCCGCCCCTTGCACTGTCCGGCGTTTATATATGTGCCGAGCACAGGGCTTGCAGAGTTCCAGCAGTCAGCTCGCTGCAGCAGTAGCCACCGCCTTCGCCGGGCACCCGCTAACCCACCCCTGCTGGGAAAGTGATTGGACCATTTCGGATCTCAAGTAATCAGCCCTTTCCTATCTAGTCGTGGCTTTTCCAAAGCCTCCGAGGAAAGCGGGATCTTTCGGTCCTTCCTGTATTTCCGATCACTACAGGATCTCGAAATGTCTACGACACTTTTATCTGCCTTCTACGACATCGACTTCTTGTGCAAGGTAGGGGAAGAGCTTGCATTTTGTCTGCCAAGCACTTTGAACGTTTTAAATGGCTCTTAGCAAATCTGAGCACTTGAGTATTTTCTTTCTAAGTTTGTGTGACTATTTAACAAGTGAAATTAACTCCTTTTTCTTGTTGGGGGAGGGGTGCTGCTTTCCATGTGGGCTGCATTTTGCACGTAACTTGCTCTGTGATCAAGTTAACATTTAAATTGTGACAGTTTACGTGGTTGGTGTTTCATCCCTCCCAAACTGAGCTGCAGTTCTCTGGGCACAGGTTTCTAAGTAGATTCGTTGACTGGAAGTTTATCAGGAGTTGGAGTTGTGTTGCAGTGGGGAGCTTTAATGTCTCTAAAGCTTTTAGTTTTAAATGTGCTGAAGTCAGTGCTAGATCTCCCCCAAAACTTCGAACTCTGGCAATGGAAGCCCTTAGGCTTGTGCTGGGAAGGTGAAGCTTTAGCTGGAGCTGGGTCACCTTGTTAAAGACACTGCTGAGAAGTAAGGTTTAGTGCATAGCTCTCAAGCGGCAGGGGAGACATTAAGATGTCCCACGCTCGCCCTGCAGATGTGCTGCGAGGGGGCGTTTTACCCCCGTGCAGTCTCAGGGGGCGCTGGCAACTTGCAGAACTGCTGCCCGGCCGAGTCACTTTGCAAACTCTCTTTCTCCTCCTTTCCCCCTCTTGTTTCCAGAGTGAAAAAGCACTGACCAACCTGAGCAGCATGCTGGACAAGAAGGCGGTGGGGACCCCCGTGACCTCCCCCAGCTCCAGCTTCGCGCCGGGGTTTCTGCGAAGGCACTCGACCAGCAACCTGCAGGCTCTGGCCAACAGCTCCAAGTTCCCAGGCTCCTCGGGCTCCAGCTCGTCGTCCTCGTCCTCCTCTTCCTCGTTCGGCAGCCTGAAGGAGACGGGCACGGGCGGGGGGGGAGGCGGAGGGAGCAGCAGCCCCACCGCGCTGCTCAACAAGGAGAACAAGTTCCGGGACCGCTCGTTCAGCGAGAATGGCGAGCGCAGCCAGCACCTGATGCAGCAGCTGCAGCAGCAGGCGGGGAAGGGGGGCGGCGGGGCGCCCATCAACTCCACGCGCTACAAGACGGAGCTGTGCCGGCCCTTCGAGGAGAGCGGCGCCTGCAAGTACGGCGAGAAGTGCCAGTTCGCGCACGGCTTCCACGAGCTGCGCAGCCTGACGCGCCACCCCAAGTACAAGACCGAGCTGTGCCGCACCTTCCACACCATCGGCTTCTGCCCCTACGGCCCGCGCTGCCACTTCATCCACAACGCGGACGAGCGCCGCCCCGCGCCCGGAGGGGGAACGGCCGCGCCCGCCGCCCCGCACCACCACCCCCACCCGCCGCCGCCTCACCCCGCCGGCAGCACCGGTGACCTGCGCGCCTTCGCCCCCCGGGACCCGCCGCTGGGGGGCGGCGGCGGGTTCGGGCCCCAGCGCGGCGCTGGTGAGCGGCCCAAGCTGCACCACAGCCTGAGCTTCTCCGGCTTCTCCGCCCACCACCAACACGGCTGCGGGCAGCAGCCCGGCGGGCGCCTGGAGGCGGCGCTGCTCGAGAGCCCCGGCGGGTCCCGCACCCCTCCGCCGCCCGCCTCCGCCTCCTACTGCGACGAGCTGCTCTCCCCGCCCTGCGCCAACAACGCCTTCGCCTTCTCGGGCCAGGAGCTGGGCAGCCTCATCGCGCCGCTCGCCATCCACAGCCCCAGCTTCGCCGCCAGCCCCGCTGCCGCCGCCGCCGCGGTAGCTGCCGCCGCCTTCTACCGCTGCCAGCAGCAGCAGCCGCCGCCGGGGGGGAGCTGTCCGCCGCCGCCCGCCTCGCCTCCCTTCAACTTCCAGCCCCTGCGCCGCCTATCCGAGTCCCCCGTCTTCGACGCGCCGCCCAGCCCCCCGGACTCGCTCTCCGACCGGGAGAGCTACCTGAGCGGCTCCCTCAGCTCCGGCAGCCTGAGCGGCTCCGAGTCCCCCAGCCTGGACTCCGGCAGGCGCCTGCCCATCTTCAGCCGCCTCTCCATCTCCGACGACTAGGGGGAGCCGGGCCGCAGAGTGGGGAGCGGAGAAGAGGGGTGTGAACCCCGCGGAAGGGGGGAGGATAAACCCCGGGAGCAGAGACCGCAGCCTTGAGAACTAGCCAAGCTCGCACAGTCCTTCGATGATCCTCTTGGGTTTGGTTTTGTTTAATTGCTGAGCAAGTAAATTAAAAAGCGAGAAGAGAAAAAAAACTTTTTATATCGAGAGATGAACAAAAAATAAATTTGCAAAAGGGCAAATGGCGACACGAACAGAACAAACCTATTTTTATAGAGAGACCTTGGAAGAAGGGGATTTTTGTTTTTTGTTTGGAGACTAGTTATAATATGCACCAGCAGCAGCAGCCATTCCATCTGTGTGGTTTTTTTTTTTTTTTTTTTTAAGCATTAGAGGGGGAGGGGGGGAACCAAGACAAACCCACACCACCAGAAAGCAAGCAACAAACAATCCAGAGAGGCATGAACTCTGCATTTCAAGCCTCTCCACATTTTTATATTCAAAAAAGACAGAATTTAATAAGTAGTTTGTCTTTCAAGCCAATTTCAAATAAAGACCCACACCAGTACTAAACCTATAAGCTTTTAAAAGAAAAATCCAACATCCTGCCAAGAATATGCCTTGATAACAACCCTCTAGTTTTTTTTTATATAATCTATATATATTATAACAAATGCTAAAACTTCCATTCCAAAGTTTAATGTTGGTTCCATTGCCACCACTTAGTGGATGTTTGGCTTAGAACAATTTTTTGTTGTTGCTTTATTTGGAAGCACTCAACTGAGTCTAGTTTGTAATTGTTGGAGAATAACTGCTGATTCTTTTTTTTTTTTTTTTTTAATTTTTTTTAGCTGTTTGAGTTGATTGCATGAGTCACTGCACACAACTCAATATGAAACTATTTAACTTATTTATTATCTTGTGAAAAGTATACATTGGTAATTTGTTCATACTGTATTTATCGGGTATGATGAAAAGCAATAGATATATATTCTTTTATTATGTTTAAATTATGATTGCCATTATTAATCGGCGAAATGTGGAGTGTGTTCTTTTCACAGTAATATATGCCTTTTGTAACTTCACTTGGTTATTTTATTGTAAATGAGTAAAAATCTTAATTTAAGAGATTGTATGTAATATTTATTTCATTAATTTCTTTCCTTGTTTACGTAAATTTAAAAGATTGCATGGTTTCTTTATAGAAATCGGTCTCTATGCTGTGGAAGTAGTATGAGGAATTTCTGTGGGTTTTTTAGAATGTAAAATGGTTGTAGCCCGTCCACGTAAAAAACAAAACAAAAAAACCCCAACAAAACTACTTTGCAATCAGACTTCAAAGTGGCAAACCTAATTCAAATGTGTTTAAATTAACCAAAAAGTATTTTTGTTGCCTAACTCCACCAATCACACTGTGATATAGTCTCAAAGTATGTAGCAATAATTGGGGGTCCCAGTGTTATGTCTCACAGTGCCTTCTTAAGGGTCCATGCTTGCCTTAAATCTTCCTCAACCAAATAAGTATTTTTCTTAATGCTTGAGATAATTTGAATGTAGGGATGAGTTTTAACTACATGAAAAGTTTCACCACTTTTTTTTTTTTTTTTTTATAAGCAAGGAGGCCACCTTTGGATCTGAAACTTTATGCAGTACATGAACATATCTTGTTTAATTAAATTCCAAAACTTGTAATTTTTTCCTTGTGTAGAAAGTCAGGAGTTTTCCAAAACTTTCCTGGACGGTGGATGAATGAGCAGTAGCTTTTAGTTTTGTTTGTACATAGGTACAGATCAAGCACTATGTACTCTATTTGGACTACTTTAACAGAAGTATGTTTTGAATGTAACTAAAGGATAAGTCAACTTGAGTTGTAATATATTTTCGGGAGTCAGTTCACTACAAATTGAGTGTGAGACTGTAAACTTTGTACTGTAAATGTTTTGTAGTTCTCCCAATAAAATTTTTGGAAAAAAAAATCAAACTATTAAAGCCATGTCTGCAAGGTGGTTTTTTATTAACTTTTCTCTATCAGAAATGTGTCTAGCTACAGATTAACCAGGTTTGAACAGCAAAATGGCTCCATTCCTGTAGAAATCATTGGTAGTTTGCCAAAACTAATAAACAATGTTCCAGAAGGTTCCAAAGTACCTAGTGCAAATCATATACTATATCAGGCTTCCTTAGGAGGACAGTGGGGAACAAACCTTTGCTTTTTGTATCTTAACAGCTGAAATGGAAAATCAGTTATTAAATGCTTGTTAAATTGTTTTTATATCGGGCACATTTGTTTATGGAGGTTATTAATATGCCATTAGTATTTAAAGTTTGTATAGGACAAGTAGGAAATGGTAATCTGGGTAATAACTTCAATTATTTTTTTTATTTTATTTTTAAAACCTTTGTTCCAAATGCCCTTCCTCATTTAAAGGAATAGACTTGTAGCCTCTCATTCCAACACTGAAGATGTACTGGTTTTAATGCTAATCTGACTCTTCAGTTTATTCTGTCACCCAGAACCCAGGGGCTAAAGACTATCTAGCATTTCTGTGGGTAAATCTTTATAATATACAGAGGCTTGTAAATTACACATTAATGTAGAAGGCATTTTATAACTTATTTAATAAGGTTTTTTTTTATGGAACCTGTTGGAGTATGTGCTCCATCATGATTCTTTTGTCAGCCTAATAAATGTTAACATAATGGCATCTCTGGACTCACAGTATTTTTTATAAATACAAGGTAGAATGTAATACTGGTGCCATACGTTTGTATAATCAACCTAGTACTGACTTGTAGTTTTAAAATTAAACAAATATATAACCATTCAAAATAATCTGTAGATGGGATGATGCAAAACTATTTCTTTAGGTTATGCTCTGGCTTGTGTTTGCTCAAAAATATTTATTTTTTCCAGAAGAAACTTTATGTATAATGTCTGCAAGGAGCAGGAGTCCTTGAGCAAATTTTACCAAATATTGAAAGTAGGCTTTTCTAATTCTTCTTAGTTTACTGATGTCTACTTGAGCTAATGCAATCTTGTTTTGTTTTTTAAACTAACAGTCAAATTAAAACTGCATAGTTGTGTGTGTGTGTGTGTGTGTGTGTGTGTGTGTGTATTTCATTTTACTTTTACTTTTACTTTTCTTCTAACTGTTCTTCCTAAACTAAGAACACTTATTGCTAAATCTCTTAGCTGGAGCTGCTGTATTCTATCAGCCCATTCTTTTATCTCCTATACAGTCTTTTATTCATTAAGTAGGATCTTATTGTGAGTCACAGAAGTACAGTTTGGTGTGTCCTGGTTGGGATATGAATTCTGAAAGTTTGCAGCAGCTGTTCCACATTAAACACAATTGCACTCCTGTTAATTGAAGCATTTTTGTGTGTTGAAAATGCTGCCAAAAACATGCATAACAGTTTATAAAATTTGTGCAAAAGGGTAGTGTATTGCTATATCTGTTGGTGTTTGTGGGAAAGCAGGGCCTCAGCAGCTTTGCAGCCTTTTCACTGTAAGTGATAGTTTGAGGTGAACAGTTACTAGTTTGCTGTATCTCTGCAGAAGTGCATGTCAAAACACTCTAGGTTCCACTCTTGTTTCTCTATTATAAATCCCCAGCAATCCTTTAATGGGAACATTAGTATCTGTCTCTTATGTGCTCCACAACTGCTTATTAGCCTTTAAATTGATTCTTACATTGTTAACTCAAAAGTTATGTAGCTTTTATTTCAGAATTAGATGAAACACAAAGCTGCCCAGACCATTCAGAAATTTCCTGTTGTCCTGCAGTAAGTTGTGGCAAACCAATGCAATCTGTGTGACAGTACATTGGTGGGTTGTTGTTTGTTTTTTGGCAGGTACTTTTGAATTACAGGAAACAGGCCTCATCTAGGAAATTCATTTGTTGCTGGGAGTTGGTGATCTGACATGGGTGTGCTATTATCATTACTTGTGCTTAATGGAGTTTTAGAACTGAGCCTTGCATGCTTTTATCCTTTAGTTGAAACGGTAGTCTTTGAAACGGTAATGAACTTAATAAAACTGAAAATGAGCTTGAAAAAAATGCCAGTTGGTGTATTCGATATGGGATTCCTAAATGTATCAAACTGTTTTTCTACTCCATACTTAAATGTAATCTCTTAAAATAGGCTCTCAACCTTTCCAGACTACTTTCCAGGAGTCTGGGGTATGCAAGACCAATCGAAGTTTCACCTCACTTTAAAACCACTTGCTTACAAAATCAGACATAAAAGGACAAAAGTGTCATAGCACACTACTACTGACCAATTGCTTACTTTCTCATTTTTACCATATAATAAATCAATTGGAATATAAGTATTGTACTTATTTCAGTGTATAATACATAGAGCAGTGTAAACAAGTCATTGTATGTGCTTTTTATGTAGCCTGTTGTAAAACTCGGCAAATACCTAGATGAATTAATGTACCTCTTAGATACCTCTGCATACCCCCAGGGCTATGTGTACCAAGGATTCCCCTTAGTTGAGTTAGGTTATGGATCTGTGCTACCTGTTTAATGAGAAGACTAAAACTGACTCAAGATACATGTCTGAATGGATTGTGCAATACAGAACAATGTATTCCAGTAGCATGCAACAACCAGAGCCATTGCCCTTTTTTAACATACCATTACTCGAGCTTAAACAGTGAGGCAGCTTCTTTCTGATAACACTCCCAGTTCAGTTAAAGGCTGAAATGCTGTAACTTAGGCAAAGTGCTTCTAGTTTCCACTTTGAAAACTTGACACCACAAATCAGACTTCAGTATATTCCAAAATGTAGGAGAGAGCATGCAAACTGTTAAGTTTAGTTGTTCATGTACATTCTTCCACTATCCCATTTTATTTGTCCACAGTAATGGTCTTGGAAAAAATAACTCCTTTTATCCCCTCCCCAATACATTTCCAATCTCTTTAACAATTGCTGAGGTGGGGGATTTAAATCATTTTGTGGCTCTGACAACCTCATATTGAACCAAAGTTAAAGATTTCAGTTCAGTTTGCAAGCTAGGCCTGTTTAGGCATACTTTATCCCACATCTGAACATACCTACTAAAGCTAAATGATTTGCACTGTGTATTGCAAATCGTATGGGTTCCCTTTTCATTCTACCTCCCAATGACTTTTGAGTGAATTTCCATTTCGTGAGTGTGTATGTGGCTGTTGAGTAACCCTGCAGGGTGAGTAGGGAACTCTGTGTTTAACAGTGCTGCTTTGGCTGACCAAAGAATTGTGTTGACAAGTTCCAACAGGAGTAGCTGTATTCACTGTAAGGCTGGAGTCTAATGCAAGACCTTAAAGGTGGTGGGCAGGAAGAAGAAATATGGGAAGCACTAAATGGATCACAGAGGCCTATCCATTTCTCTCCACCCTCCTTTTTATTTATTTAAAATTCTTGGCAGACAGGTTTTCTCAACCTCACCCAACACTAGTTTTTTTCTGGAGTTATGAACTGGCCTTGAAGTCAGTGGTATAATTATACAGTCTACTGGGCAAGCAGTTAGAATAACTCCTAATCTTTATGTTTAAAAGTACAAATATTTAACAGTGGGAGATAGAAAAACTATAAGCAGTGATATAAGCCCTTACTTCCGCCTGTGTTGTGGAATGGTAATGCTAAAGAAGACACTTAGCTATAAAGCCCTTACTGTGCTTTTCTGATGTTGTGTTGGAACTCCTCTTTTTAACTTTTCAATTCTAAATTACACAAGAATGGCTAGTTAGTTTGCTAAGGTGGTGACTTTCTCTGGTGGGGAGAGGGAGATGGTTTTGTTCTGACGTTGTTAGGAAAATTCCTGTAACTCCCTTTTAAAGCTCTATTTCCATATTGGCGGCAAATCAGTCACCTCTAAGCTTGAGCGTGTGTTCTAAAGTGCTTTTATTTAAAAAGAGAGCTCATTTATTTAAAAATAAGGCTCAAATCAAACAGAATATGACTGTCAAAACTCTTCTATAAAACAGCTTTGCAAAAATATGAAATTTACAAATCAAGCCACAAAAGGTATTTTCCAACTAGTGTATTACTGTCCCCAAACAAATAAAATTGTGCAAGATTGTTCTAAAAGTAAACCACACCTGATCATTTTAGTGCAATATAGGGATAGTCCCTGCTCCAAAGTTTACAATTAAAAGGTAAAGGAACAATACATAACATGACAATAATGGTCAAATATTAGTATATACCTGATAAATCATTTATCTATTGCTGATGGATAGATGACATTTTTTGAATAATTTCTAAGTCCTACAGCACTTGAGAAGGAACTACAGAATAATTTAAACCCTCAGATTTTTCTCCTTGGCTAATAATATAAATAGAGATGTAGCTCTAGAAGCACTGGAATTTAAACACAGAAATCCTGTACCACTGGATTATTACCTGGGTCTTTTCTGAATTGTGTTCACTTAAATACCCAAAATTCTGAGAGCTGTTCAAGACAAAGAATTAAAGGGAGACTCTATAACAGTAAGAGGCCTGGTAACTGGTATTGTGATTGGCCTTCAACAGTGCATAAAATCTAGTATAAGATCCATTGTGGTTTACTCACCAGATCGTTGGTGTAGAAACCATTTTCCTCTGGGGCAGGAAAGTGCTAGGAACTGGCCTTTATGATTGCTAAGGTTTTTCTACACATATATGCAAAAAAGGTCCTTTATTTCAGCTCACTTCTAACTCTTCCATGAATAAAAGTCTGTAGCTTAATTTTTAGTTACCTGGATATTCTGTCTCCCCTGGATAAAAAATGATGAGTAGAACTGGCACCTGGATGCTCCAGAAACCCTTGTGGATGGATAATAGGGTGAGGTATGTGGATCTTTTGAGTTTTGCTGTGTTATCAAATCTTAAATGGGACTCTTATAAAGGTCTATACCCTATACCTGCTCCTCAACTAAATGAACATGGAGAGGGGGCTGCGAAAAAATGGGAACTGTACCCAGACATTTGTTGTTTTGCCAGTCTTCTGATTTTTG